ACCAAGAGTGCCATGAACCTCCCCCTGCCGAATCGAATCATGTCTTATTGCTACAGCGTGGCCACTGCGAAAACTATGTCAAATTGCACAAGATCTCCACGCAACACCAGAAGAGCTATTGCTTAAAACACCCTAGTAGGCACCCCATTGTTCCATGTGCTCCAAAAGAGCAGCCCGTGGGAATGACACCTACAACAAACGCTCTTTGAGACTCCTTGCAGAGATATTGTGGCCAAAACCCCAAACTCCCACTCCAAAAAAAACTCATGCCCACCCAGAGACATTGCTTCATCGAAAAGACAGGTCATTCCACAAAGCAGGGCAAAGAATTATGCTATGTATAAAAAAACAAACCAACAAAGCACATTCGTCAAGAGAGAAAGAGTAGCTCGTTAGTATGAGCCCTAACTGCTTAAATATGCCAAGACAGAGAGTTAGCAAGACTGGAATGTGTGTTGTTAAAACCACCACTCTACCCGACATTGTGAAAGTCGGGGGACTAGTAGCACATGTTCATGAGGGCTACCGGTAGCATAGTGTGGAGACCCGGTAGAGACAAAAAAATAAAAAATTCGATAAATTTTTGCCACCACTTATTTTGTGGTTCACGACCAAATCGACAGACCCTCAAATTTTCATATTTGTTTATGAATTCGTTTGAGCCTGAAAAATTTCTGAAATTGGGGTACGTTTCCCGTTGGCCCACAAGTAGTAGAGTGGCAAAAATCAAGAATGAAACAAGTTGGCGCGATATTTATTTCACTGAATTAAAAAATTTAAAAAATTTTAAAAATATTTTTTGTCGAAAGATCAGAACCAAATTTACAGACTCTTCAATTTTCAGAGATTTCAAAGCATTATTCAAAGCATGAAAAATCACAGAAGATAGGGTGCCTTTTCCTTTGACCCACACGCTGGAGTGACAAAAATGAGAAATATGACGAATTTGTGCGACATTTATTTCATGTTTTTTTTTTTTTTAATATTTTTTCTGATATTGTTCCTATATTTTTCGAAGCACGAAAAATCGCAAAAGTTGGCGAGTGAAAATTATGGGACTGGACACGCCCGTGCCTCCCGGTCGACGACCCCCCTAAAGACCCGCTCCGAACTCACCGGAATGCCACTTTTTTTAAGCACCCCAAATTCTCTCTCTCCTTTCATCCACAAATCATAACAAACCATCCATAACAAAAAAATATAGATAGACAATATCATAGAAAATGCAAGGTTGACCACTTTTGTGTGGTTCAGCGCGCTTGCACTTATACATATTTGATCCATAAGAGGGTGGCAGCCAAGAAACACCTTACCTAAGACAGAGGACACCACTTGCAAGAAAGCACCTCATGACCTGCACGCAACACCAAGAGTGCCATGAGCCTCCCCCTGCCGCGCAACCTGTAGAATTGGACGATGTCCTACTGGTACTGTGAGGCCAATGAGAGAGCTATGCTGATTTCCACAAGATCTCCATATGATACCAGAAGTGTTATGTCCGAGTGCTACAGCGAGGCCACTGCGAGAACTATGCCAAATTCCACAAGATCTCTACGCGACAGACAGACAGACAGAGAGAGAGATATTCGAATTAGCAAACGGGAATGAATCTTCCCGACAACACAATAAAATTTGTTCCCGTTTTGCAGAACCGAACCGCGCGGCCACGGAGAGAGAGAGAGAGAGAGAGAGAGAGAGAGAGAGAGAGAGAGAGAGAGAGAGAGAGAGAGAGAG